ACTCGTGATGGTTGTTGGTCAAAGCCCCATCCAGCCTGGCCTTGGATACTTCCAAGGATGGGGCATCAAGACTTGCCTTTCTGCAAAGCAGATAGTGTTTGTAATATGCGATGAAAAGCATATTTAAAAGCAAGATTAACCATGATGAGTAATGTGATCCTGAGTATTTCTGATTCCAAATTAATTAACCCAGCTTCAACCTTCCTGAAGCCCATGTTTAACAAAAGAACAGTATGTCAACCTAAAATAACACTTTGGCTGCTTTCAAGGTGTGGCACTAGTAGAGCTCTGCAAATTTGATGTCACAAAAAGATGAAAAATTGACAGTCCCAGCCAGCTGGGATCTTTTGCCTTCCTTCCTATGTTCTTAGTGGAAACTTAATTATAGAGACATGTCTGATTAGGTCTCTCACTTAGTGGAGGACTTTGTGGACTCATTCTACTTCTGGGAAGACTTTTTGGTTCCCCCATAATAAGTTGTTATATAGTTGTTTAGGAAAGCAACAAAGCACTTGCCTACATTGTCCTTAGGTCAGTGATATCTAATGGGATACAGAGTCATATCGTCCTCCAGGTCAACAGTACACAGCTGTCCCAGGTGGGTAGTGATTATGTGTCATTACAACCTGATTCTTGTTCACTGTTCTGTCAATAACAAGATTTTTGTGTTCAATCCATTTCTTAATGGACGGGTGTTACAAGTACATTGGCATTAACTGGCAACATTGTTGGCGGCTTCTGCAGAAAACCAAAGGTATAAAATGAACCCGAGCATAAAAGCTGCGATTGCAGAAATTATCTCTATTTTAGTGCTTTGGAGGAATGCAGTGGAAAGTTTTTAACATGAGCAGCAGCAGCTGTTTAGTAGAGAGATGGCTTGAAGGTCAGCCAGCTCAGCACACTGGGTTGGACCAGAGAACCATCTAGCCAAAAAGCTTGTTGCCAGCAGATGCCCTCAAGAAAATGCAAAATCAGAGGAAATATGTACAATTATTTATAGGGTATATTTCCTGAACCTCCAATGACTTTTGACATATGTGCTTCCTGAAGCAGAGTTTGTTATACAGACTAATCCATTCATTCTTTGTTTTTATCCTACTGTTTTTAACTTCTGATCAATAGCCCAGCTTCCTATGTGAAAGTGGCAAGTGAACCACTGTTTCCTAATCCCTTTCTCTGTTATTTACTTTTTACATACCTTGGTCATATAATTCCCTCAGGAGTTTCTTATCAAGAATCTTTGTTGACTTAATTGTTAGAAATCAATTCTGTTCCTTTCAACATCTGCTTTCCCCACAATTGCAAGATCTAAATTTTGAGTGTTAATTGCCTGTTCATGTCCCATTACAGTATGGGGAAAGTTAATAATGTCTTTCTTCATGCGCATTGCTATACATTTATCTATTATATTTTTATCAGTCCTTTTATCACAGTCATTCAATATAATGAGCTTCTTCCACAGCTGTTTCCCATTTGGTTTTCTTTTCATTATTCTTTGTTACTTGTTATGCATAGGAAACTTGGTCAGTCTGGTGTTCACCATCTTGTCCAGATCAATAATCTATATACTAAACAGCATATGTTACTTTGCGGGTCCACTCATAGTGCACTGCTGCTCTGTTTTGCTTGCTATTGTTTAGATAATTATTAATTTGATGATTTCACCTTATTTTACAGAAAATTAGTTAAGAACCTTTTGTGAGGGACAAAAGGTTTTTTAAAATCCAAGTAGACCTTGGAAAGAAGCAAATGCTTCTTTCATATTAATTAACAGCTTTGGACTACTCTAAAAGATATGTGAGGCAAGTCCTCTGTTTGCAAAAGTTGTATTCAATTGCTTCCTCCTCATTTTCTTATTTCTATCCATGCGTTTTGAAGAGGATACATATTAAATGAATAGATTATAGCTTAAACAGAACAAAATGAACTGCTGGTCCTGTGACAATATTTAGTTTCTGTGCAATAGTCTTATGGACATATTTATGCCCTCTTTTGTCCTTAAGAAGATGAACAGGGGTCAATCCAGATTTATGCTGTACCATAGACTGGTTAGTGAGATATGGCTTAATAAGAAATAACATTTGAAACTTGGATCAGTTTGACCCCTTTGTATCCTTTCCCTGTACTTGGTTGTTAGTGTTCAGACCATGCAGTAGGATTTCTGCAGGCATAAATGTACAGAACTGTGGTAAAAGAAATAAATTTCTCCTTCTGGTGTATTTTTCAAATATCAAAACTTTGAATTATTTTTTGAGAAGCCCCGTTTTCTTTATGAGTTTATGGAAGTTGTAACAGTTTAGCATTTTGGCACAAATATGTCTATGGTGCAGTTTCATAGCTTTGGGGTTAATAGATTTTGATGAAGTGGTGTTGGCCAGTTTTTCCCCTTCAGTTCATTAACTTAATGAATAACTGTTATGTACGTCTTCTAATTGTTACTTAAATTGAGGTATTTTTTCTTCACACTGATATCCTACTAAAGCATTTGATTGAAGAGACCAAATGAAAACATTAAATTGCCTAAGTGACCCACTCATTAGTTTTTGGCTGCCAAATGCTGTGAAATCACATACAATATCATAGAATATTGTTCAGCAGCCTGCTAAAAGAAGTACAGCAAATAGTTCACAAGAAAAAGACAGATTTGTATGTTTAAATTGTCTAGATGTTTTCTGTATGTTGAGAGTTTAGAGGATGGGAACAATAGATTAAGGTGTTGCAGGAATTTTCATGTTCCTTTATTTCCTGAATCTTGGGTTTAAATTTAATTATCATTATCAAGCATTTATGATTGATTGCTACCTTCTGCTTTATTCCTAGACATTTCAGTTTCCAGACAGACGATGGTAGATTATGTTGTTCCTTTTCAACTTCAGATTGCATGTGGTTCTGTCAGTTATTTAGGTTTGTGCAGAATTCTTTAATATGTGTCAGATTATTCACTGTGATATTAATAAATTTATGCTGAGCTTTGAAGACACCTTAGCCTTTTGTGACTAATTCTATAAAAGAGAATTAGTCTTTGGACTTGATTATGAAATATTCATACTGCAAAAACACCAGGAGATCTCAATCAAATGAAAGCTGGATGGTTCCATGGATTGCAAATTCTCTAAATGAAATTCCTTTCCTCAAAGCGATTGCTGTCTAAAAGATTCTTTCTTGTTACCAACTCCAGCAAATTCATTACAAATTTTTCATCTACTAGGAAAGTGTACCTCAGTCACTAAGTCTCAGTCATCCTGTTAGAATGTGAAACTCACTGTTTTGATTTATTTAAAGGAGTAAATAGAAAGATCAGCCCTCGCTGACTGTAAGAAGGAGCATTAGGGAGAAAATATAATCCTTAAATCCTTATGGGCAAGAAAAAGAAATAGACAATTCCCAGAATACTCTTTATTTTGAGTAAGTTTTATGGCTTTTGAACACCTGGACATAACAGAGCTGAAGTTGGGTCATTTTGTAGTTTACTTGCTCTTGTAAGTACTACTCAGTGCATATATGCAGCTCATATAAAAATAACCACCTTTGAACTGGAAAGTTTGCTGTAAAATATGGGAAAAAAATTTTGATTCAGAGACAGCACAAATGCCTAACTTCAAGGTAAATATCTATGTCTTTGAATTCTTCTCAGCTGCCTCTCTGTTAATATGATTGTTATCTTTAAAAAAGGGTGATATACTCAGCTGTCATAGTAGTGCAGGGCTATAAATGCCAATAAAAAGTTTTCAAGTTATGATTATTAAGTATTCTGTAAGAAACTCCTAGCTCATTTTATTGTGTATTTATTAAGCATTTTTTAAGCTCGTAATCATGCTCATAAATTTCAGTTAGTACACTGAGCAGTGGTTTCCAGCATTTTCTAATCCGTTTCTAATTTAATTGATTTTTACCCATAAACAGTATTTTGAAATAATTTGCAAAGAAACCCAGTTACCATCTTTTTTTGGGCATACTTCCATACTTTCAGTTACTGATACAGTGGTGTAAACCTCTGGAAATTATTACACAGGAAAAAACCCTACATATTCTGCAAGTGTATATCAACTAAGAGGTATATGTCTCTTCAGTTTCCTGAATATTTTAACTCTAGTGGTTCTGTGCCAACTTTCAAAATTTCATGAATATTTTTTTGTCATGTTTCATTCCTGGTGCCTTCATGCATTATTTACATGCAGTACACAAGATGATACATGTAAGAGCAGGCTGAACAGTCTGTATATATGCTCTAGGTTGGGTTTGAGCAGACCCTTTAATCAATAGCTATATATATCCAGGCTAGTTCCTCTAACTTAATTTGCATTTGAACACATTTGATATAAGGTTATTTTCTTTTGTAACATTAAATGAGTAGATTGTAAAATATTTATATTGTCACTATTCTGAGATCCGGACATCCTTTAATGCCTAGATATTTTCATCAGTTTTGCCTTTCTAGTAGAAGCATTTGAAGGAGAACTTCAAAGATAAAATTTCAAAATTCATCAAACTGTATAGATAGATAGATAGATACATAGATAGATAGGTAGTTATAGATAACTCAGGAATCAGAATTTTAAATCTACTGTTAAATAATAGAATGGATGAAAGCCACAATGAACAAATAAATCCTCTAATGTAGTATTTAATTAGGATATTATTTGTCTCCTTTTCTCTGATGATTTTTTTGAGGCATGTGGAAGATATGTACAGACCAAATTAATTTAAACTAAGAATGTATTTTATGTTGCATTTAGAGAAAATTCAGGGCATTTATGACTGAAAGCTGTTGCCTTCTTAGTAGCAGTTATTAAAATTAACATCACAAGCAAAATATCAAGATGGGTCGCATTCCTTTCTACATTCTTTTTATTTCTCTACCAAATCCTGAGTTTCTTGAATACTTTCATTGCTATGATTATTCACTTCTGAGACAAACAGAGCCAGAGATGCATATTCATGACTTTTTCACTGTATTGTCATATAAACTGCTCTTACTCTTTCTCATTTATTCTGCACAGGCCCCATCATCACCTTCTTCACCCATAGCTAATGAACCAAAATATGAGAAGCGCTGGCTAGACACCTTATCAGTTCCTTTGTCGATGGCTCGAATCTCGAGATACAAAACTGGAACAGATAAATTAAGGTTTGTAATCTAAAAGGGGAAGCACTGGGTTAGTTAGCTGTACAAGTGTTTTGAGATGGATTGTTGGCTTTATAAGAATTATTTGAGTGGAGATATGACAGTCATTAAAAAGTTCATCTTCTGTGCAGTTCATCCTCTCTTAAGATTAATGGCATGCATGGTGACTACCAAAGATAAAGTAAAGCTCCTACAAATACATTTCTGTAATCTGTTGTATCTTGGGAATTCAGTGAGCATCTGCAACTAGTACAAAGGTTAATCTTAGCGTTAGTTGAATTAACTTTGAAGATACTACATTTGGTTCTGTATGATTTCAGAGGTGATTTTACTGGACTTCAGGAAAGATGAAAGCAAAATTGAATTTTAATAAAGCATCAATAATTAATATGCTTGAGAAAAGTTTAACACATCACAGCATACATAAGCTTTTCCTGGACATCATTCCATGTGGTAGCAGTGCCTCAAATCTACCAGTTGTTGTGGGCCAAGTAGTCCATATGTATCAGGAGTTCATTCACTGTTGTTATTTTCCATATTCTTTATGTGTTACCCTATTTTTATTTGCTTCTAGTACGTATTAAGGACATAATTAGAATCTCTATTGAAGCATCAACAGTACAGGTCATCTGCTACCAGGAGGTATTAGAAATTCATGTTAAAACCTTTCTTGGTCTGTACCAAATTATTTACCTGTTTCCTAAAAATGACCTGAAACTCATTATTTTCTGGTAGGAGAGATTTTCTCCTTTAAGTTAGTGCAATTAATCTCCTAAACCACTTGGCAGCTCCTCTCCCAGACTTTGTGTTAAAGCATCAGAGGTGAATAATAATAAATTGTCCAGAAAAGTTTTAGGTTCTTCCACAGACTTTGTTTGAATTCTTAATTCTGTTTTATTTAGTCTCTCATCACTTCCTCCATCACTTTCTTCCTCCCTACTTCAACTGACCAGTTCATGTTGTCCAGCCTTTCCCAATCCACCCCAACCATTCAAGGCTTAGAAGTTCTCCTATGAATTAAGTGAACAGATCTCAGTGTGCACATTTAGACATCAACTCATCGTCAACTTAATATCAATATTCTAAAGTGTAAAGGATAAGTGAAAGAAGATAGAACGTTTAAACCTCTGACTTCAGTTACCACTCTGATAATTTGAAGCAGTTTCACTCCTGTGCTGTCCACTTCACCCATTAGATGGAGAAATCCCAAGGGATTCTAGTTCACAAAACAGTAACACGTGCATTTTGAGAATTCTTGGAAGTAAAACACCTTCAGATATTGTACTGGGTTTAGATGAGATGGAGCTAATTTTCTTCATAGTAATCTATATAGTGCTGTGTTTTTGTTTGTGACTCAAGCAATTTTAATAGCATACCAGTATTTTGGTAGTGGCCAGCCTGTGCTTGTGCACCATCAAGGCCTTCTCTTTTTCTTGCTCTGCTCCCACTCAGTGAATAAGCCAAGGGGTAGGCAAGAAGTTGAGAGGAGGCACAACCAGGGCCAGTGACCCAAATTGACCAAATTGACCATTCCATGCCACGTGACATCATTGCTCAGCAATAAAAACAAAACAGGGGGCTTGAGGGGAGCTAGCCTGTGCTTGGAGACTGACAGGACATCATTCTGCTTGTGAAATGTGGTGAGTGATTGCCTTTGCATCCCTTGTTTTGTTGTGGTTTTGTTTGCTGGGGTTTTTTCCTCTTCTCTTTGCTTATTAAACTGCCTTTATTTCAGCTCATGAGTCTTTTTGTTCTTCATATTGTCTGTGCTGTGCCTCTGGAGAACGGTGGTGGAGTGAGTGGCAGTGTGGATGGTTGGCTGCTGGATCAGGATCAAGCACTCACAGATACATTTTTCTTGTAAGAATTGAGGAGCTTAGAACTTTCAGTTTCAATACAGAGATTATTCTCTTGTGATGCATCTCATTCCCATATATATTTAGTATACATACCACTCCTTAATTACTGGTGTTTTTTTTTCATTTTTGTTGTATACACTCTGAAGGAAGATGAAATAATTCCACACAGCTTATCACCATCTCATGATACTTTACTTCTAGTGAGTGCTCCTTGCTTATTTTGATAAACCAACAGAAACATCTGTATAACCATTAAAGCAACATTGCCTTGAGATTAAGTGTGGATGAGGTGTTTCCCATGTTGTTATTAAAAGTGTTTATTTTTGCCAAACTGCTCTTATCATAAAACCTACGATCAGTCTAAATAACAATCCTGCTTTCAGCCATATCTACATATCTCTGTTCCCTTTCACATTTCAGCCATCAGTCTAAAGTCTGGAGTGAGTCCATGACAATTCACTTCCCTGAACGTATCACAGATCCTTCTGACCAATTTACTAATTTTTCCATACTCTGAATATTTACTCTAAGCCTATTTGCATACAATCTTTGACAGCATGCCTGTTTTTTTTCTGTATGATATAAGTCCATGAATCTGTCATCCTTGTAACTTTTTGTCTCTCTCATGTTCTTTGTCATAACTTTGTTTTGTTGCAATGCTTCATTATATTTTATCCACTAAGTTACCTTAATTGGTCTTGCAGAGGTGCCCTGGCACCAGAACAGCCAGATTACTTTTGAAGTCAGTGTTGGAGTTGTTGAAGTGTTGGAACTGTCATCTGTAGTGTCACATACACAATTGTGTGCCTTCTGCTGAGCTAGATGGACTGTATAAAAGGTCTTTTTCCCCTACTTCCTACAAGAATTAAATTCAGAGAGGGCTATATAATTCTTTCCTTCAAAAATTACCTACAGCCCTTTGGCTTTTGGCATTGCTTTTTAACTATGCAAAATATTATGGCTTATGAAAGGGTATTAAAGTCTGTAGGATCACTTTGCTGTCTGTCCATTCACAGGTAATGAACACTCTGAGTTCTTCGATTCCTCTTTTACCTGATAGGAAAACATCTTTTACATCTGGGGAATTATTGCAATTGGCTACAGCAGAACTTTCCATACTTTTGTTACTATACTCAATCCCAAACTCATTTTTAAAAATATATAGTATTGTATTGTATATGCTATGTATAGTGTCTGTAAATGAGAATCCAGGTACTCTTGCTGTTCTGATGTGGTGAACTGCCATCAGCCCATCTGGATGGCTCCTCTGACCTCATTCACTTTACTTCTCCAAACAATCTTCGAGATTGTTTCATATTTTCAGCATTTTTTCTTTAAATAACTCACAGATAACCTTAGGAACAAGAAAAAAGATTGTCTGTCATAAGGTCGAGTAGAGTCTGATATTTTTCCTGAATGCCATCTTTTTGTTACCTTTATATTAAAAAAACCCCAAACAACAAAGTATGACTATGTATGACATGTCAGCATCTTGCTCAATATTCATTTTTCAGTTGGAAATAAGTTATATAGCTGGAGTTGTCTGTTAGACTGTAGTTTACTTTTAGTGTGCCTTAGATCAAATCTAGTCTAATCTAATCAGATTTGGCTGTATTGTTTCCTTTGGGGTTAAACTATGCAGTTTAAATTCTTCTATACTCCATATGAGTTTTCTGGTAGCATTGGTAAAAAAAGGGCATATTTTCAGCCTACTCTTGTGTCATGAGAAGGCCAGGATCACATGTATCTGTTTGATTGTTATTCTTTTTTTTCATTTGAAGAGAAAGGAGTTGCCTTTGGCCTTTCATTACACTTGACTTTTTATTATTTTTTCCAAGGAAGACTGGTGACTTAATGACACAGGAGTATGTTTTTTATATATTTTAGATTCTGTCAGAACCATACATATTAAGAGAAACAAGACAGAATGGGATATATTTTTTCCTTCCTTATAAAGGAATGACTGAAAATACTGCAGAGTGTGACTATCAAGTATGTTTGTCCATACCACAAAACAAAAGCAAAAAAGTTACCGAGAATATTTTAAAGGAAAGTTAAGAAATGTAGTAGATGCCATTCCTCTTCTCAATGGAAGACTAAACATTGTATTAAGAAGTGAAATCACTCTGAATCAGTGTATGTCATATTGTTGATATGATTGGAATCTATCTGAATATTTATATGCAGTAGGCTGATTAATCTTTTTGATTACTTAGCAATTCAATATTTTTTTTTATTCAATTGTCTTTACAATATAGCATTACTACTTCTATTATTCTACACTTCTCACCAATCCACCAATGTAGTTTTTCTCTGTAAGAAGTAAGGTTATATATAGTGTGAGAATGCTGTTGCTCTGAATATGGTTAATTGGCAGTTGGTAATGAAAACATTTTTCAAATGTTGAGGATAGAGTTGGTCAATAAGTCTGATGTAAGTTTAACAGAGAAATAATGAGATCAGTAGGTCTTTCTCAGCCAAAAGAATTTGTAGTTCATAGTAAGTTTTGTGGGGGGGTTTATTTAAGATATAAAAATAAAGATAGGTAGTCTTATAGAAAGTGGAGAATGTAGTTCACTCATTGTAGTCTTTCAGTTTTCTTATGAAATGTCTAAATTGTTATTTGAGAAAATGTAGATAAGTATTTTTAGTCCTTATAGCAGATACTCGTAGTACTGTATAATATTTTTTATACTCTGTATTGACTGGAGCTTTGATGAAGGTACAGTAGCTACAACCCCTTGAACATTATGAGTTTAGACACTGAAGAAAAAATGCTTATTTAGAATATGGAAAATTGAAGTAGTGAGTGGAAGTAATTCAGTTCCCATATCAATGAGCCCATGTAACTATGGTCTCCATACAAAATTACCTAATTAGATTTAGGTGTTGCTTTCTATTCCTTGGTATTCTGACCATTGAAATTACTCGTATTGTGTAGTTGATTTTTTTTAATGGGCTCACTGTTTTTTTAACAGAATCTTTCTGAAGAATTGTATTTTCCATTTAACATTTCAGTAAGTTAACAAAATGCCTTAATTAGTTAAATAAATTGAAAACTAAGAAGTGAAATAAACCATTTTGAGAAATATTTAGGAGTTAAACATAATCTGTCTGAGTTACAAAACCTTAATGAGTACTTGCTCACCATTTTTTGACACATCAGTTAGAAGCATAATGTCTATGTTACTTCAGTTATCTTATTTGATTGCTGTAAGTGTAATAAAAATAAACCAAAGTTACAATGCTGGAAGCAAAATGCTCCCCCAAAATCCCACAAACACAAAATACAATCCAAGTTTATGTTTAATGCTTTGATATCTTTTTAGCTACATCGTTTCTGTTAATAGTCCAGATATATGAGCACATTTGAACATTTTTTTAAGGTACAAGACTATGTGACATTTACAATATAAAATCCTATTATTTTTAATGTGACATTTCAAAGAGATTAAGTAATTCAGATAATTCTTTATGGAGAATTTCCACTCAGATCCACCCATAGTCCATAAAACTTCAGTTTAAATATGAATTCTAGCAAGAGGGTCATATAGTACTATAAACAAACCACAAGAAAATGCTGAAACAAAAGCAATAAAAACTCAACTCATACATCAAAGAAATCATACAAACAGGAAGGAATACTGATTTAGGACCTGGGAAGATCAAATCTGTCTGTCTGTATCAGCATGGTAGTAAACTTCAAGTAAAACAGCTGCTGTTAGGCATACATCTAGGTTTTTATAAGGGCAACACAATAAAATAGCTATGTAAGTCTAATGGAGAGATGGTTTCACATGCCACAGATACTGAGAAATCTAAAAATATGTTTCGCTGAAATTCTTAGCCTCCAGTAAAGTAAAAATTCAGCTGGCACTGAAAATACATTTAATCTTAGAACAGTCTTTTAATTTAACACCTCTAAAGTATCTAACTACTTGTATGGCAAAATATGCTTTATTAATATTAATTAACAATATTTGTTTAAATGTGTCAATGTCAAAAAAATAACTTGAAGTCTTCCAAAGCTCATCTCTTATTCTCTCTGCCATTCTCGCAAAGAGAGTGTTTATTTTATTAAAAGAAATTATTGCCATAAACAAACCCCAGAGGAGACCGGGAATGCAGGTCCATTCATCATTTCCCCATGAAAATGAGATAGAAAGAGACTGAGTATGGAAAACAGTGCCTCATGCTTCTTGGCAGAAATGCTTAAAGGAAACAAAGTTACAGATTGGGAGACAAATTTGAAATCAAGAAACATGAGGGTAATTTGACACAAATTTCTAGAATTTAGGAAATGAAAATATTCGTTTCTGGTTCTAGTTGCAATAGTCAGTACCACAACTGCTGTAATAGAAGAGATGGCAAATTCCTCTGACTGTGTTTTAAAATGGTCTTGTAGCCTCAGAAAAAACACACACACACACAAATAAACAAAATAAAATAAATAAATAAACAAAAAACCTAAACCAAAACTACAGCAACTTTATAGCATCTTGAGACCTCTCAAACTTACTATTTGGTATTAAATGGAAAGCTCCTCATCACCTAATAGGAATAGGTGCTTTGCTCTGCCTCTATTTTTTTTCTTTTCTGTGTTTTGAGGAAATGGTAGAGAGAGGCATGGCATTTAAGCCTCTCAGATTTATATTCTCCTGAATTCCAGTGCTATCTCAGTGCTTGAATTGATTGTTTCACTTAAAACAAAAGCCTCAGCATTCATTTTAGTAAATTTTTATTTTTACTTCGAATATTTGTTTTTACTTGTAGCATTCTATACACTATGCTTTTCAGAACACAGTGTGATACACGGAACAATATCAGTATATTATAGTATCATCATAGGGAAATTATTGAAACTGAAGGCAAGAAATAATCACAGTAAAGTTGATTAAAGTTGAGAGTAAAATCAGTGTATTACTAGCACAGACTTCATGGCTGACATCTTTTACTTTGAAAAGCCTTGGCTGTTTTGTTTCCTGTGTCATTTAATGCATTAAACTGCTCTCAGGTAAAACTGCCTTCCTGCCCAAGTCAGCACAGTGGGGAGAGCAGTGCCCCAAAGGTCTCAGTCCCCATGTATCAGGCAACGTGACCACCATTGGCGCATCAGATGCCTTGAACCAGACTGAGATCCTGGGGAAGGATGTCCTGGTGTCAGTCTTATGGAGCAAGGGAACAGCTCTACAGGAAGGGCTTGCAGATCTTGCTGGACACCCCTTTGAGTAAGTGTCAGCTGAACACACTTTCAGCGATGAAGCCCCAAACAAGGATTGCCCTTTCACTGGGTAAGGATTCTACCATCATAGCTTTGATATTTGAATTGGATATCTAAGCTGGTTATTGTGAGTGGCCTCTCTTCACCGCACCAAATTAAGTCTGTTTCCAGCTTCCACTGTGTATCAATGAATAGGGAATTTTCACTGTCTCAGTGGGATGTTGACAAGATCATTCCATAAGTCATTTCATTACAGCACTGTTGGGATCTTTGTCAGAGCTTAGGTAAAAAGAACAATGTACTTGAGAGGTGATTGAGTCAATTTACTTGAAGACAATAAGAGGATTTGTTTTGACCTTTTCTTTCTTTCTGAAGAGGTGAAACAGATTTATGCAAATGAAAGTGACACAGCATTGTACCATTGCCACCAGGTTTTAGCAGTTACGATGATAATTCAATCATGACACTAAAACAGGGAATTGGCTGATATATATTTAAGTCTTCATACCAAACATGTAATTTTTGCAAAAAGCAATTATAACACTTTACGACTCTTGTAACAGTAAAGCCTGTCATATATATCTATTCGGATAGTTTGTCTTATTAATATTGTATGTGATGTTACCTTTTTCAGCAAGTAATAGAGTTCAGTATTCCCATTCACCATCAAAATGCCTACAAATGACAAGGGTTAGTTAAGTAACTTTTTCACTAAGTCATGAATGAATAACTGCTTATGAACCTCTGTGTGTCATTTTGAATGCTTATGTTGGCATATACCATAGATTAAGCAGTAGAGGACTCCACCTTAGATCAGAGAACCCTAGGAAAACAGCAACTTCATAGAGCAGTATTTGGGATTCAGTAGTTGGCTGTCTTCTAAGTTAGTACCAAAAATGAAGCAAGTATAAATATATAATGTGTAAATGTAGAAGGTAGCAGTGATATTCTCCATATTATATACACAACAAACATATACACAATTTTTCAGATAATTATAATTGTCTTTCACAGTAGTATATGACAAAAATGTAATTCTTCTGACAGTCATAGGCATTTAATAATCTGTGAATCTTTCTGAAGTTTAGTTACTGCAACTGTTGCATGTCACTTTTTTTTACATTTACATCAGTGTGCTTCCATGCAACTACTTAATGAGCCTTTGTTGTTCCCATTGAAAAATCTTGTAGTAAAAAAAGCATATCCCACCATCATCCAAAGGCAGGGGTTTTCAGACATACATACACAATGCATAACTTACTGCAGATAGTAAGGAAATCATTGACATTTGCATAATAAAGATGCTATAAACATGTGAAAGTTGCATTAAAAGTTAATAAAATGCAATTGCACATTCCCGTGTGTCAATACTGTTTTGAGAAATTTGTTTAAAGAAAAATATTTAAAGAAACTCCTGAGAACATTTTTCAAATTCCTATGTCATAAAAGAGCTTAAAGAAAACATTGCTTTGAATGACATGTAGAAAAATAATGGAAACAAAGAAATGAAAGTTAGGAATACAGTTCTTTGCATCTTCGTACATTCTGAGTAAATGAAGCTAAAATGCAATGAAGAAAATTGGCAATTCAGTTTTAAAAAAAATTGTGTTTGTTCAAAAAGATCTGATGCGTACTTCCTTAATACACTACCTTAAGTTCAGCAGTTATGAACATAATATGTATAGTCAGAGGAAGTGAATGATCATCAGCACATGTATGCTGGTACAGAGAAAGTACTTATTGTATCTGTTGCTCCTGGTACTGCCCATTATTATCCTTCTTTTTGTTGCCTTTCTTTTGATTTGTAAACACTCAAAACTTGTCAAAAGGCATAAAAATTACTTGAACACTGATAAATATTTGGCAGTTTCAGAAAATTGATGTATCTTCCGTTATGGATATATTTCTTCTTACTGCAGATCTAATGCATTTGAAGTGCTGGCACTCGATGGAGTTGGTACTGGGATACTTCAGTTTTATACAGCCCAGGAGAGTGCTGACTGGCTGAGAGCAATGTCAACTAACATCAGTGATTTGACACTTCAAAATGTATGTTACTTTCTGTATATTTTCTTGTCTATGCTATTGTAAAATTATTTCTAGTTTTCAAAGAGTAGAAAACAATTCACATTTAAGAGCCAATATATAAAATGACTGTGTATGAGGAGGAAAAGGAGAAAGGAAAAAGCAGGGAGAGGTGGTCTGATCAAAACTATCATGAAGTTTCCAGGACTTGCAGTGTTATCACAGAACAGAGAGTGGTAGAAAAACATTGCATTTATTATTTTTAAGACTTATTAAGGCAAAATATTTATCTGTAGTGGTAATTTCACAGAGCTTCAGACATGACCAAATATATAATTTTTACATTTTTGTAATTAAACTGTGCTTGAAATTAACATTTGTTGATTTTGAAGTAGGCATGTGAAAATTCCATAGCTAGTGTAGGGTGATTTACAGATGCTTACTGGGAGACGTTATTTTTACCTCTCTAAGTTGTCTAAGAGTTGATTTATTTAAGGTCATATTATTCTATGTTTCTCCTTTCTCTCTAGAAGTATAAAGGTGCTTATGCTATTTTAAGTTATTCGTGTAAATTAATAAGTAACATTTGTTGTTGCAAGCAGAAGTATTACCTAATCCCTGGAGAAACAGAAAATTGCTATTTGGACGGCACATTATTATTCCAACAAAGAACAGCTAAAAACTATTGAAGATTTTGGAATGAACCATAAAGTTAAATAGGGAACTGGATAATGTACAATATTGAAAATATATTTATCTCTAAGAAATGGTAAAAATCAGTGATGAAAATATAAAAGCACTGTTATCACTGAAAGAATTGCCTGTACAGGTTTTTAATATTTTTTCTTAAATATGTTGAATCTGTAATATCTTTTATAAATTATGATTTAGTAGTATGACTTTAATTTTATGCTTTGTACTCTAGATGAGCTGTTGCTTAGTTCTTCAGATTATATTGCATAGAATTTGTATTGGATTTTAACATAAATCTTTGGTTGAAAGAGATTAAAAATTTAATTTATTTTTCTAGTCATCAAAAGTTACATGGAATTCCATTTGATAACTATAGTTCATTTATTCCATTAAATCTTTTAAATTATTCAATTGCTTAAGCAATCTCTTTCATGAAATAATTTTTGCTTATTACGCATTCTTTATAAATATTCTCTATTTAGCGATTTACATCATGTATGCAGTATTGTTATTTGACAATTCTAAGATAGTGCATAGTAATATTTTTAGAGCAATTCCAGTTCATAGTTACTAAGACATTTTTTTTGTCTTTCTAATGAAATCAACTGAATAAAAACCACTCCAAGGATATAAGTGAATAAGACAATAAAAAGTGACTATAAATGCAAGCAGCACCTTTATTATCATAGCGTGCTAGTCTGTTTTTTTCAAAGGCACTATGTGCAGCAATATACGTCCTGACATAGTATCTTCACTGTGTTGGGACCTATCTGAGTAGTTTCATTGGTCTTCTCCCTTATCTATTACAACAGTGAATTCTGTAAACAAAGTAGTCTATCTGGTGTTAGTATAAGTGGCTGTTCCCAGGAAAGGTCTGAGAAATAACAGTCATGAATGTCATGAACAGATGAATTCCCATATTTTGTGGTTTTGGTGAGTTACAGAGTAAACTCTATGTTATAGAGTAAACTCTATGTAGCTCATATGAGAAGCATGTAAACTTTTTGCTTGGACTTAATGGACTTCGTTAGGTGCAAGAAAAGTGGGTAGAGCCCTTCCCAAATCTTCGTTCGCGAAGCCTAGCCATGAAAGGTGTGCAGCCTGTGGTACAACTGGAAAGGTCCAGCCAGAGCATTTTGACTACTGATCATCAGAACAGGAGATGTAATAGTCAGTGAGAATCCCTTTTATGGCAAACCATTTCTAAGATGAGGATTGTGAGGTTAGAGTGCAGCAGAAGGAGGCTGGAGAGTACTTGCTGCCTCTGGGCAGCCAGAGGAACTAGGGCAAATATTGGGCTTCTTGAAAGTCCATTTTGAATGCTTTTTATTACCTTAGTACTATCATTTCACAGAATCCTTCTTTTCTTGTCATACCTCAGAAACTGACGTTAGGGAATGGATCTGTAATTCCTTCAGACCTCTTTACTGTTTCTGCACTTTTCTGCTTCTGTCGAGTGTCTCTCCCATTCTCCAGGAGTACCTGAAGATAATCACTACTCATTCAGAAATCCAGATACTTCCTCATCTAGTTATGGGTTATTTTCATGAGTCCTTGCTGACTCTAAGTTCAGTTGCTTCTCCAAATATTTAAACTAGTCATTTCCTGTTCTGTCCTATGCCATCATCTCTGTATGGAAATTAACTACTAGATACATAGTCACAATGGATCTTCTTACTGATACATTTGGCATGATGTCAGCATCCTTACCTGATCTATTACTAAGTTTTTAAGCAATATTTTTCATTATTCACATTTTACTTCCACATATTTTTAGATTGTGTTTTGCTGATAATTGTTTCATGACTTTAGTAACTTTTCCTGCACCTCAGTCTTTCTTACTTAATCTGTGCGTATTCATGCTACTCTTATATACATCACTTGTCCTACATATTTTCATAAAATTTTGAATAATTTCTTTTAGAATTTTAGTTCTTAAAGAGCTCCTAATACAGATTGTTTTCCTACACTGCACACAAGCTTTCCTGTATCACTTTATCCTAATATACTTCATTTTTTTTATTTTACCCTAATACAGTTTAATTCAGCAAGTGGCAGCTCTTTGTCAGATCTTCTGCTGATGCCAGAAGACAGTCCTAATGTAGGTAGTACAAAAATAGCTCTGCCACAATGTGACACTTCTGCTATTGTCAGACTACTCTTTTGAAGTACTGAAACATCTAACTTCTATACAAAGACAAGCTCTCTGGGGATCAAGGGTAAAGGAGGAATCATCTTTCAACAGTGAAGATGTGAGGAGCTGTCACTGCATAAGGCTGCTGCCCCTGTATGTTAACATATTTAGAAAGTGCTACTTGGTAGATGAGAACTAATGATTCTGGTACCAGCCTGGAGAGAGTTAGTTCTTAGATGACAGAGGAGCACAGGGAATACATGGAGAAAAATGTAAGGGTATCCTTTTAGCCCTCCTTACTGATACATGCTTTGTATGCTTAGCTCAGAAAATCTCCTAGTAACAATTGGCTTTGCAAGAAGCATGCATTACTTTTTTTTCTGAGGACCCTTGCTCCAAATTATTCATCATTCTGTTCATATTCTGTTTTTTTCACATACTTTTCTACCAGCATGAAACTACCCTATCATCTTCCTTTGTGATTCAGTCCCCAATTTCAATGTTCGCAAAACTCTTCACATTTACCTTTGGCAGAAATAAATAGAGGTGAATCAGCACCTCAGGTTTATTTCTTCATACACTTCTTTTCTCGCAGAAGGAGGTGCAGTTGAAGAAGCTGAGGGAAGAGAGGTAACAGAAACTATCAGTGAATATTCCATGATGTAACAAGAAGCACAGGAAACAAGTTAATCTGCATGTGCTTCTCACTACTGCTGTTCTTAATTTCTTTCACCGGAGGGTTCTTTGTAGGCTGAAGTGACAATTTGTGATGGAAATCATTTTCTAGAAGAGAGTTTTTTGGGATAATTTATATTTCTCTCCCTATTTTACACCATTCAAATTGCCAGCTATTAGATATGTGCAGCTTTTTTTCTTAGAAATATGACACCAAACATTAATGTAGTCATAATTGGTGGAAGCATCTAAAGGTAATGCTGCCAGTTCATTTACATTACAGAGATTTGTTTCTTATATTTATAACTTTCTCAAGGTTTTGTGTTTTTTCCCACTATATTCTAGTAGTCTTATTAAAAAAAAAAATTCATAAATAAATGAGTAGCTCATAAGCACATAAGAGAACAAGTTATGATGCACTTGTTCCACTTTAAACATTATTTATGGTTTTTATAAATCATTCACACAGTTTCATAGGAGGTTGGTAGAAACTTAAAATTTGGAATCAAAGTAGGTTTATTAATCCAGATCATATTTATGCCTTTTACAGCCTTTTTAATTGTATGTTATACTGTACAAACCTTTTCTTTTATTCCTTCATGTAAACACATATCTAAGTGATACTCTGTGTTGCAGTTGAGTTAATAAAAGTTGATTACTATTATAGCTAGGAAAAAAAATAGATGCCTGTCAAGATCCTTCACTCTCACTGCTGTCAGGAAAGAGAAAATAGGTATATTATATGTGAGATAAATCCCAGCCTGGGAGGTATTTAGATTTAGGTAAACAATTCTGAACTATTTCCTCCACAGTCTGTTCCTGTCCTGTACGTATCCATTCAGAACAGAGTATAGGAATTATAATTTGTTTAATAGTTCCTTTTCAATGTTGCCTGCAGTCTTTGTAGATCCAGGTTTTTTGTTTTAGTTCCCCTGCTGTCTCCAGCTCCCATTACTGTACTGCAGTGCTAAGAGCCTATGCACTGCCAACAAGGTAAGCGTATCCCATTCCTGTCTCTCTGCACCAGCTGTGGAGGCATGTAGAGAACACGTGCTGCCAGGTGAAGTGGAGAATACATACTTCTCAGCCCCATGACATAGGGACATAATATGGTCTTTTGTCTCCCCACAGTTACATCCCTGCTTTGAACAGGGATGAGCTAAGACTGTGCAGTGAATAGCAGTGGAGTCCAATGCATTCTTTCCTCTTGCCCTTATCAAAGGGAAGCTGAACTGCTTATGAGGGTGCACTTCACAATACTCTACCCTCATTGTGCAGAAAAACCTGCATGGCCAGTCTCACACATTTTTTTCCAGGCACATCTGAACCTGTTTACTTGCACTGATTTGTGCTATAGTAATCTCATTATTCAGCATGTTTTTGGATACTTGCAAGGAAATTATATTTTCTGTGTGTATAACATGGCTTCTATCTATTTACTTTGTGTATGTATTTTTGTCTCAAGCATAGGAGAGAGGCTGGGGCAGAATATGGGCAGGGCGTGTCAGCATTTCTACTGACATTAAAGTATTCTGGGTGTCTTTTCATTATGTCCTGTACGACTGCTCTAGCAGGATTAAGCCTACCAACAAATCAGACTGGTGAGATCTGCTTTGTTCTGTGACACTGGGCATGTCACCAATTTGTTTTAACCAAGTTAAAGAGTGAGTTTCTTGAGTTCTCACTGGTTTGTTACTGACAGGGTGCCGATGGCATCAAGAATCTCTACCACCTCTTCCCCCCACCTCAGTGCTGCCGGCCCGCTGTAACTTAGTGCAGCCATGCAGCCTGGGGCCAGGCTGTGGTAAGCCACACATGTGCATGACCTGGAAGGAACCTTGCTAGGGCCCCTTGTTCTGCTTAGCAGCTGAATTTTAGTTCCATTCTTGTCTTTGGTCCATGCCTGTGCTATGCTGCAGGTACCAGCAACTGCAGGCTCTGACCTGCCTCTGTTGTGGTAGTCCCTGTTCCTCCTCTAGGGTGGCAGGGAGGTAGTAGGGACCATGGCAGGGCCACTCCAAGGGCCTGACAGGATCTTCCCGCACACAACCCAAGGTGACAGCCAGGTCTGGCAGATGCTCCAGGCTCCCAGTATCTTGGCCACCTCATCCTCAGACCCTCCGTCACTCCCCTGGATTTCTTCTGCTTGTTTCCTGTAGCAATCCTCTCCTGAAACCATTCGGCACCATATTAAAAACAGCATCCTGCAATCCTCCGAAGAATCCTTAGGGTTCTCCCTCAAGAAGAACAAGGACTGGTTTGATGAAAACAATCAAGAAATCCAGGATTTGTTGAGGAAGAAGAGAACCCCCCACCAAGCACACGTTGCACTGCCATCATGTCACGCAAGAAAAACAGCCTTTCGTCTTGCATGCAGCAAGCTCCAACAGACACTCCGTGACATCCAGAACAAGTGGTGGATCGATCTAGCTGCAAAAACTCAACTACGCGCAAATACGGGTGATCACAAAGTATTCTATGAGGCCCTGAAAACAGCATACGGGCCTACATACCAGGTACAAAGCCCTCTACTCAGCGCTGATGGACAAATGCTTCTAACAGATAAAACCTCCATTCTGAATCGATGGTCTGAACACTTTCAGACTCTTTTCAGTACCAACCATGTAGTCCAAGACTCAGCAATTCAGTCCATCACACAACAACTGGTAAAGTATGAATTGGATACTGCCCCCTCTTTAGGAGAAACCCTCAAGGCCATACAGCAGGTGAAAATTGGCAAGGCAGCTGGGGTTGATGGAATTCCACCCGAAGTCTGGAAACATGGGGGCCATACCAAATTTCATGAGTTTGTGGTGCGCTGTTGGGAACTAGGCGAACTACCATCAGACCTTCGTGATGCAGTCATCATCACTTTGTATAAGAAGAAAGGAATTAAATCAGATTGCTCAAATTACCGTGGCATTACTCTGCTCTCCATTGCTGGCAAAATCCTGGCAAGAATACTCTTGAAGTCAGTGTGGTTTCAGAGCCAACAGGAGTATCACAAACATGGTATTTGTTCTCAGACAACTGCAAGAGAAGTGTAGGGAACAGAACGAAGGTCTTTATGTAACCTTTGTCGATCTCACCAAGGCTTTCGATACTGTGAGCAGAAAAGGTCTGTGGCAGATTTTGGAACATTGAGGTTGTCCCCCCAAGTTCCTTAAAATGATCATCTCACTCCATGAGGATCAGGACGGCCAAGTCAGGTATGGTAACACACTTTCTGAGCCCTTTCTAATAAAGAATGGTGTGAAACAAGGCTGCGTTCTCGCTCCTACCCTTTTCACAGTCTTTTTCAGCATGATGCTCCAAAGGGCCACTGCAGACCTCGATGATCAGGACGGTATCTACATTCGATATCGTACTGATGGAAGCCTATTCAATCTGAGGTGACTGAAGGCCCACACCAAGACCTTAAACCATCTTGTCCGGGAGCTGCTTTACGCTGATGACGCCACCCTTGTTGCCCACACAGAAGCAGCCCTGCAGCGTTTAACATCCTGCTTTGCAGATGCTGCTGAGCTCTTTGGGCTGGAAGTCAGCTTAAAGAAGACAGAAGTTCTCCATCAACCTGCACCTCAGGAAGTCTTCCACCATCCCCACATCACCGTTGGCCAATCAGAACTCAAATAAGTCCAACAGTTTAATTACCTAGGCAGCCTCATCTCCTCGGATGGTAAGATTGACGGGGAGATAGACAATAGGTTAGCGAAGGCATATTGTGCTTTCGGAAAGCTTCATAAAAGAGTTTGGCGAAATAAACACCTGAAGAAAAGTACAAAGATCAGTGTTTACAGAGCCATTGTGCTGTCAACTCTCTTATATGGTTCCGAATCATGGGTCATCTACCACCACCACCTGCATCTCCTAGAATGCTTCCATCAACGCTGCCTCTGTACAATCCTAAACATCCACTGGTCAGATTATGTGACCAATACATCTGTTCTTGAGCAAGCAGCAGTCACAAGTATTGAGGCCATGTTACTGAGAACACAGCTGCATTGGGCAGGGCACGTCTCCAGGATGAAGGACCACCGCCTCCCTAAGATCCTGCTTTATGGTGAACTTGCCACTGGCTGCTGCAAGAGAGGAGCCCCGAAGAGAAGATACAAGGACTCCCTGAAACAACATCTCAGCCTTGGGCATATTGATCACCATAACTGGTCTACTCTGGCCTCCAATCGGGAGGTCTGGAGACACACCATCTATAATGCTGATGATGGCTTTGAGAAAGCATGCAGGATCACCCTTGAGGAGAAAAGACAACGCAGAAAGAATCGAGCCTTGCAGAATATACCATCTAAGGAGTCTTTCTGCTGTGCCTTTTGCAATTGGACATGCCTCTCTGGTATTGGCCTTTTTAGCCACCAATGTGTTTGCAACAAACATGGGTAGAGCCCTTCCCAAATCTTTGTTCGCGAAGCCTAGCCATGAGGTTTTCCACGTGCATATGTGTATGGGTTTTGATTTTCTTATCACAAGCCTTTCATTTCTTCTAAAACAGGCTTTCTGATGACAAGGTCCTTTGCAAGTACTCATCAACTCTAGGTCAATTTTCAGTTTACTCCTTGCATATAAGGGAGTCTGTTTTTCCAGTCTAATCTTTTCCTTTCTAGATTCTTATCTACACTTATCAATATTGCACTTCAAAGTGTTACACTTTAAAGAAGGGAATATATGTCAGGGTTTGTCTACTGCTTATCTATGCAAACTATGACTGCCAGAGAAAAGCCAAAATGAATAAAACTCTTCATTACCTAAACAAAGAGAAAAAGCGAGAGATATGTAACTTTATCTTGAAGAGCAAACTAAAAGGAAAGCCCATACAATTTTCCTTTCATCCTTCAACACATCTTATACTCCATTGTCTTCATTTCACAAGTACTTAATCACAGACCTCATTTGTAAATCTGCTTAAACAATTGTTTAACTGAGTGAGGTGTCTACAGTACAGTACAATATTTTCACTCAGAGTGGCAAAGTTCATACTTTGCAAATCTTTATGAAGGATTCAATGAAAACTCTGATAAAAGGCTTTTGTCTTCAAATCTTGGGTTTTTTTTAAATTCAGCATAGTAGTAAAAATCTAGTATGTAAGCACTGAATGATTTAATTTCTTACAAATATATTTTGAAATTTTAACACTGTATTCCATAACTAAGTCAATAAATGCTAATTGGATCACAGAAACTCTTCAACATATAAATAACTCTGTGTGTTCTTCCATCTCTGTCATAGATGAAAATGGCAAATAAATGCTGTTCTCCCTCAGACCAGGTAAGACTTCTATTACATTATACTTTTTTTTTTTATTTCTTCTGATTACGTTGTTGGAAAATTTGTAGAGCTTGCATATGCATATCTAGTCAGTTTTAAAATTCTAAAACCACGTTTTCTATGGTTTGAAATTCTGAAATTACCTACTCAATATAACAGATTCTTACTATTCTTACTAATCTACAGTAATGAGTAGAATCTTCCACTGTAAACCTAAAAACTGGATTAGATGGAGCCATGAAATACATGAGAGGGGAACAACGGAACTCTCAGCCAGGTCTTGGAAAGCGTAGTGTATGTTTGCATGCAACACTGTAGTAGTGAGTCTGTTAACTCCCAATTTACATCAGGTGCACAGATAGCCAAGGAGTGAATTCCAAATCTAATCTGTTTGGCATGTATCAGGCTATGCAGACTGTGTTTGTTCGTCCGTGATTTTTGGAGCTCAGAAGCCTGATGATATATTTCTTCTACTCCAACTAGACAAATGTCCCAAACTCAGATGAAGTTACTGCTTTGGGAGGCATTCTTACTTCCTGTAACAGTGCTTTGTAAAAAAAATAGTAGCATTTTCCAGGCTAATTAATTAATTCTGGAAAATACTCTGAAGCTTGTATTACAAAACTAGTGAGTTACACTTACATCTGCTTTCATTGCATCAATCTGGCATTATTGCTCAAGAACACAGAGCCTAATCCTGGCTGTTTTCAAAAATGCTGTGTTTGTAGATTATAGAAGTGAAAAACAGACAAGGTATCTTTTATAGCATTTTACTGCAGAAATTAATTATGGAATTTTTATTATAGAAGTCAAAGACTGAGTCAAAAAATTCTTCATATCAGGATCAAATAAATATTTATTAGTTTGACATATTGAATACTCTTTCACATGTCACCATTTCATCATCTTATTTATACAATGTACTTGGACATATACAGGCTTTTCCAGAAGTTATTAAAATATTTAAGCATTGACATTTTCTTACACAGGAAACTGTTTTCTTATATTAGGGTTAATCCTTTGAAAAAATATACCTTGAAACCCACTACAGACTTCAATTCTATGTATAGTAGATAATAAAATTGCCCCTAAAACTAAAATAAATACCTATTCCATATAAGAATTTAACATTTAGTCTTCACTGGCAATCTCTCTTCCGACACCTTGCAAGAGTATGGGCTGCAAGGTGGGGAATTGGAGAGCAAAGTCCCTCCCACTGTAAGGAAGAATCAGGTTCATGACCACTTGAGGAACCTGAACACATGTTAAGTCTATAAGACCTGATGAGATGCATCCCAGAGTCCTCACAGAACTGGTTGATTAAGTTGCCAAACCACTCTCCATGATATCTGAAATTTCATGTCAGTAGGGTGAAGTCCCAGGTGACTAGAAAAAGGGAAACATTGCACCAATTTTTAAACAGGATATAAAGGAGGAACCCAGGAACTACCTACATGTCAGCCTCACATTTGTTCTGGGAAGATCATGGAATGGATCCTCCTAGAAGCTGTGATAAGGCACTTGGAGGACAGGGAGGTGATTTGAGACAGCCAGCATGCCTTCACAGAGGGCAAGTCCCACCTGACCAACCCTATAGCCTTCTATGGTGAGGTGACTACATCAGGGAACAAGGAAGGGCTCCAGATGTCATTTATCTGGACTTCTGCAATGCCTTTGACACAGTCCCCCACGACATCCTTCTGTCTAAATTGGAGGGAGATGGATTTGATGGGTGCACTGTCCAGTTGATAAGGAATTCATTGGATGGTTGGATCCAGAGGATAGTAGTCAATGGCTCAGTGTTCCAATGGACATCAGTGACAAGTGGTGTCCCACAGAGGTCTGTACTGGGACCAGTACTGTTTAATGTCTTCATCAGTGACATAAACTTGATGAGTGTGCCCTCAGCAAGTTTGCAGAAAACACCAAGTTGTGTGGTGTGGTTGACATACCTGAAGGACATCCAGAGGGACCTGGACAAGCTTGAGAAGTAGGTCGAGATAATCCTCAGTATCAATACAGGCTGGGGAATGAATGGATTGAGAGCAGCCCTGCCAAGAAAAAATTAGGGGTGCTGGTGGATAAAAGGTTGGACATGACCCAGCAATGTGCACTTGCAGCCCATAAAGCCAAACATGTCCTGAGCTGCATCTAAGAGTACGAGAAGGTCAGGGGAGGTGATTCTGCCCCTCTGTTCTGCTCTTGAGATCCCCACCTAGAGTGATGCATCCTGTTCAAGAAGGACATGGATCTGTTCTAACATATCCAGAGGAGGGCCACAAAGATGATCAAAGGGATGGAACACCTCTCCTACAGGAAAAACTGAAAGAGAGGGGGCTGTTCAGCATAGAGAAGAGAAGGCTCCAGGGTGACCTTATTGCAGCCTTCCAGTAAGTAAAAGAGGGCCTATAAGAATATTTGGGACAAACTATTTAGCAAGTCCTGTTGTGATAGGACAAGGGGTAATAATTTTAAACTAAAAGAGGATTGATTCAGATTAACCCTAAGGAAAAAGTTTTTTCACATTGAGGGTGCTAAAGCCCTGGCACAGGTTTCCCAGAGAGGCAGTGGATGCCCCATGGCTGGAAACATTCAAGGTTGGGTTAGTCTCTGAGCAATCTGATATAGTTGAAGATGTCCCTGGTTATTGCAGTGGGGTTGACCTAAATGACATTTAAAGCTCCCTTCCAACCCCAACTATTGTATAATTCTATGATTTAATTACTTTTTTTGTCCTGGCTTTTAATTATTAATTAAACTGATATGAAAAACAGGTGATTATGAGTGCCAGGGGAAAAGGTATTTAATTTGGATATCCTTTGTTGCATGAACTGTCTACTGCAAGTACTTTAGTAACAATTAAAAGTTTTTTCTTATCAGTTTGGGCAATCATAATGAGTTTAGTTGAAAAAAGGAAGACACACTCTCCCTCAATTTTTAAGAAGTATTGAGGACAGTCATACAACTTATCACTAGCTACATAATTTGATTTCCTAAATAAACAGCCTAGTCTCCATAAACTGCCTAGATATTCAGTGCAGAAAATTATTCTGTTCCAGAGAGCTGTTCAAATGTGAAACTTGATATCAACACTTTAAATCATCCTTTATAGGAGCCACTTTTGCTGTCTTGACTTGCCTCTTAGCATATCGTCTAAAGTAGGTGCCTAAAGTTAGGTGATAAAAATCTATGCCACTTTTTCCATTCCTAATATAAATATAAGGGACAATACAATTAGGACCCTAATTTCAGAAGCTGAAAATTTAAGATAGAACTGATGGCAACAAACATTGGATTTTTCTCTGCCAAAAAGTGAGAAAAATTAAGTTTATAATGAATTTTAGCAGAACAAGGAAATAAAACTAGCAAACATAAAAATATTAAAGGAACAAAGTGAACAATTCAAAATTCATAGGTCCTGTGAAAACTTGCTTTAAAAGCAACCAAATTATGAATATTTGAGATATATATATATATCACAAAGGCATCATATAAAACTTGGCAAAAGTAACTGAAAGCAGAAGAGGTCTTGTTCTGTTCTAGATTAATGGAGCCTATTAATGTCAGTTACATAATGTTTGTACAGATCTGAATAGCTCTTATTAATGCAATTGATTTAAAATTTAGAGAAAGGATAACCTTAAGAGATTGAAGGTCACTTGAAGAGCTGCCTTGAAGTAAAATTGGTGATAATTGAAAATTTATCTTTGCTTTTGAGCACGGACATTCCTGAAGAATTAAACAGAGTTTCATTAATGTGTCGCCTGTGGTGAGTTTTCTTCATTGCTTTTAGAGTCCAACTTAATCATTCATAAAGGGACACGGTTGGATGTGGATAGGTTTCATTCAGATTATTTTTTCATAGCACATTAGCAGTCCAGGATTCAGGGTCATCAAGAACATAAAAAATTACTTTGCTAAACCAGGTTTTCTTTGTTTTTCATATTGCCCCTAACTGGTTTTACTGGAAACTGAATCTCCAGAACATGAGGAATTCTTTAGGCATCTAAATAAAGAAAATCAGAAAGGACTAAGATACTGGTTCTTGGGTCTAAACTAGCTGTATTTAAGTGTCTCTTTGCCAAAAGATGTCAAACAAACTTGGTGTGATTCTTGGGGTGGTCCTGTGCAGGGCGGTAAGTTGGACTTCAGTGATCCTTATGGATCCCTTCCAACTCAGAGTATTCTAGGATTCTATGACTTTGTCCTATGTCTGTTATTCAAATTTAGAGGTAAGGAAAGGTAGTAGTAGTTGTAGTTATTATTAACATATTTATACTGTTAAAATAAATGGTACCAGGTCATGAAGCTAATTGGCATGGTCTAGCTAATTCCACACTTAAATTCTTTTCGTCCACCAAAGCAGGGTGTCTGCATTCAAACTGCCTATTGGAAATTATTTCCAACAGTGCTAAAATCCCAGACTGTCCATTGGAATTGTTTGGAGAGTTCTAGTTATCCCAGGACAAGTCATGCTAGTTATTCCATGTCAAGGACTACAAGGTCTTAAGAAATACGTAGGGATTACACAAATCTAAAAGGTATTAAGTAAGTACTACTGCTGAAGCTTGGGTGCTAAGTGTCTATGTAACCTGTGTTGCTGATGAAACACACAGCATCTATGCATCATAACTTTTGATTCTGCTTAGTATAATTTGTTATAATACTCTAGAGATTATTTGAAAGCACTTTATTCTGTGTTATCAGTAGGCAGATAGATTTGGGACTCAATTTTCAAAAAGCACACACTGCTGGATTGCTCTTTATTTTTTATTAAAGCAAATTAGGCAATTCTATCTCTGCATAGGCAAAAATACTTGCAAGGTTTTTAATTTTGTTTTCTGGATTTTTTTATATTTTCAAGACTAAAACTTTTATCATTATTATTTCAGGGAATTTGTGTTTCACAGGTGACATCTCAAAAGATAAGGGAAGGGCAAACATCATGACTGTTAATGAATAAAGAAAGAGAAGTTGGATAGTTAGAGACTAGTCAATTT